TTTGCAAATCTAATAAATAAATATATATATGGAAGAAAATTAGTAGTAGTAATAGTAGTAGTGGTAGTGGTAGTAGTAGTAGTAGTAGTAGTAGGCCGCATATCGGTAACACTTTAGAGCCGTGAAAAATGGAAGCAACACAAGGAGGAGCAGCACTAAACGTCGCCCGACAAACGATGACACATCCGGCGGAGAAGAAAAAGAAGAGTGAAAAGAGTCGGGTCGATTCCTGATTTTAGTGCCGGGTATGAGGCATATTACACAATAGCACTATTAAACCCACCCAACCAATAATTCTTCATTTCAAATCTTTCCTGTATTCATCATTTATCATATATGAACCTTTTTGATTGCTTATTTCATTCTCTCTTGAATAATTTATCCCAGTAAACAAATTTTAATTATTAGCATAATATTTGCTATGTAACAAATGAATTGAATTATGAAATTATTACAAATATCATATTTCAATTTGTTCTTTGGATATGTATAGTTTATGGAAATTTGAGATATTTTTATAGTAAAAAAAAAAAAAAAAAACAAAGAACAAAAATAGTTAAAATTCAAATTATGGTATAAGGTTTTACATTTAGGAAAGGATAATAATATTTAATAAATAAATTTAAGTAGTAGTAACTAAGCTGAATGAAATGACAAATTATAAGAGCATTTAGTTAGTGATAGTTTATTTCGTAATTTAATAAGGTGCACTATATTACAATGTTTTAAATGGTATTTGCTCGATAGATGGAGATGGATATGTATAGTGTATGGAAATCTGTGATATTTTTATAGTAAAAAAAAAAAAACAAAAATAGTTAAATTCATAAGAAAATAGAATTCTCAAAATGATATCATGAAAATGATAAAAATAATGCTATGAAAAAAAAAATGATGTCGCTTTATATGAAAGATATGATATGATGGAAAAAAAAACAGTTGTTAATTAATTGATGTTAAATTTAAATCTTTGATCCATGGCACATTCAACTTTCTGACTCAATCTTAAAATCTCGGATAGGAAAGAACTTCAAAATTAGTAAGTGAATAAATTTAGGATGAAGAAATTGAAAATTATTTACTATAAATAAGTCAGTTAAAGATCACAAAATTAAACTCATTAAACATTCATCTATCGCTATCCTCACAACCTATCAATAAATCACAAATTTCACTCTGACCTATATGAATTAACTTGTTTACTAAATATTCTATTGATTACAAATTGAAAATAATCTAATTTAATAATATCAATATTTGATAAGGCTAATCAAAAGATTTCATTTCAAAGTCACAACGTCTGGTAGATATTCAAACGGATATTTTGTTTCTTTATATCTCCTTTTTCTTTTATCAATTTTATAAAATGATGAGGAACAAAAAAAAAACAATGGAAAATGATAAGAGAGTTAGGAGGAGAGAAAAAAACAGAAAGAAAGGAAAAATTAGGAGAAATTTAACAAAAAAAAAGGATAGAAAAAAGGAACAGTTTGAGAGATGTTGTTAATCCATCTTATTGTTAACTTCTCTTTTTCATTCTTTTCCTTTTTTTTTGTTCGCTCCTAACTTTTTTCTAGTATTACTTACAAAACAAGACGATTTATCGGAGGGAAAATCTTTTGTGATAGAAAAGAACGGAGAAGACATTGAAGAAAGAGAAGAAGTGAAAGGAGAGGGAAAAAGAGTGATGATGATTTTGATGAATAGTTGCGAAATAAAAAAAAAAGGTGAAATGGATTTTTTTGGGATGGATGATTGAGAATTTGGGAGGTAAAGGAAGAGGA